TGAGCAGGGAGCCTGATGTGGGACTCGATCCCGGGACTCCAGGATCATGACCTGAGCCAAAGGCAGTCGCTTAACCAACTGAGCCACCCAGGCGCCCCTTGTCTGGGACTTTTTATATCATGTCTGGATTTTTAGACTGGGCACATTTAGTCATTCATTTTATATTCTATATTCCTGTTCTGTGCCAGGCACTAGGCTGGGACCTAGAGATTTAGCGATACATATAATGTGGTCCCTGTCCTCTGGAAAGGGAGAGAGATACAAACGAGCCAATTAGGGCTCTGCCAGAGGGGAGTATAGGAGGTGTGGGAGCTCAGTGGAGGCGCATAGCTCTGCGTGAGTGGATTAGGGAAGGCTTCCGGAAGGAGTGGAGGTCTGACCTGATTCTTTGAGAAGGAATATGAGTATATCTAGTGGAAAAGGCACAACTCAGTCAATAGGCATTTACTAAATACCTCGAGTACCAGGGCCTGTGCTATGGCTTGTCCTGAGTTTCAGGGAGACAGATGAATCAGATAAGGGCCTGCCCTCAAAGATCTCACAGTCCTATTCCATCAGTTCAATCTTGTTAGGGCCCCTCCATGAGGGGCCACCAGCAAATATGTGCTGTCCAGAGCCTCTCACTTCTCCTGGGCAGGCAGTGAAGGAACTACCAAGCACTGATCCCTGGCCTCTGCCGTGTCATTTTGAGATAGGGATCGAGTCAGTTGTGAGGAGCCTACAGGGAAGCCTGAGGATGAACAACACAGAACTCCACAAGCAGGGCCTGCTGCTTTTTGCTGAGATCCTGACTCGGTGAGCAAAGTGATGGGGTGTCAGGCCTGTAGGGGCCAGACTGGAGAAGGAAAGAAGTGTTTATTCCTGGTGGTGTCAGTGATAGGCATTCACTTATTCATTGCTCATTTACCATTTCTCAGGCAGCCAGAGGAGATCAAGCTGTTCACAAGCTCAGACATGTGTAGAGATGCTGGCCGTGCTCTCCAAGAAGCAGTAAGCAGCCCTGTGCTGGAAGTGGCTGCTGAGGCAGTGAAGGCCATTTCTGCCTTTCTGAGGTGAGAGACCCAGGCAGGCTGAACTTTCTACCTCTCTATGCCCTGTGGGCCAGGTCAAGGCAGGGAAGCTTCCAGGCAGTACTTATCCTTTAGGTCAGGGAAATTTTCTTGAATTTTTTTCCAATACTCTATTTACTCTGTTCTCTCTTTTTGGAACTGCTGTTCAAATGTTGGACCTGGACTGGTCCTCTAATTTTCTTTGTTTTCTGACCATTTTTCATCTTTTTGTCTTTATGCAGTAGTTTCTGGGAAATTTTCTTGACTTTATCTTTCAACCCTTCTACTGTGTATTTTATTTTTACTTTCATATTTTTTTTAAAGATTTTATTTATTTATTTGACAGAGAGAGACAGCGAGAGAGGGAACACAAGCAGGGGGAGTGGGAGAAGGAGAAGTAGGCTTCCCACCAAGCAGAGAACATGACCCGAGCTGTAGGCAGACACTTAATGACTGAGTCACCCACGCGCCCTACTTTCATATTTTTAATTTGGAAGAGTTCTTTCCAATTCTCTGCATGTTTTTTTTTTATTTTTATTTTTTTAAGGTAAGCTTTATACCCAATGTGGTGCTGGAACTCATGACCCTGAGATCAAGAGTTGCATATTCCCCTGACTGAGCCAGCCAGGTGCCCCATCTGCATGTTTTTTTTTTTTTTTTT